TGTCGCCATTTGTGGTTAGGTCTTGTCCATTACTGATTGCAGTTGTCTGTAGAATTCCTCCTTCTTCTCTTTGTCTGCATGATTAGTAGGTGCGTAGCATTGTATGACTGTGACTTTCCTTAATTCTGAGTTGAATCTTGCTGTAATGATGCTGATGCTGGAGGAGATTGGTTCCTAGTGCATGAGAGAGAGCCTTCGATGCTGTTGGGACATCATGATAGCTACTTGACAACTTAGCTTGCTCGTGGTTGTCGTGTGGTGACAATATCGGAGTAGATTATTGACTTTCCAGTTGACAGTTTGGAGAGTCCACTTCCATTTCATCTGCATTCGCAAATTCCTAACACTCCAATTCCAGCGAGGAGCAAATTTGTTTTTACGTTTTATATTTTGCTTGTGCTTTGAAGTCCCTTTAGCGGTTGGATTTGTTTTGCGGGGTGGGGTTGCTAGCCCTACGCCCAACCTTCCCTCTTTACCCGGGCTTAGGACCGGCCAATAAACTAGAACTAGGTTAAGGGAGGTAGTACAGCAGCAAAACTTAACTACCCACAGTAGCTTGTAATTCCATCTTATTACATCCTTGTTAACCGTGCTGTGAAACAATTATATTCACTAAAAAACGTTTCGAAACCAGTTTATTGTACACATACATATCAGGTAACTCCACAACTTTGAGGCATAGTCTATATTGTACTTATTCCCTCTCCTTCTTTGTGATAAGGGCAGTAAATGTTTCCATACAATTGTAACAAGCGCAGAACCATTCTTGTTACATGTGTTCGGCGTTAATTCTACAAACAAGGATTCCAACTGCCAAACCACCCAAATGGAAGTAAGGTAAGGTTGACGGAAGAGTGTTGGAGACTCACGGTCCATCAGTCGACAATGAATCTGTCGACTGTAAAAGCACTTTAGCCTGCAGAAAAAATTGAAATATTTTCACTATCAAAATTGGAAAAACAAATACCAGGCAGATAAGAGCAGAGATAGAGACAAATTGGAGTAAATGACGTGGAGTGCAACCAAGACATTTTCAAATTGTCGACTGCTGTATTCATATTAGCGTTGAAACGTCAGAATATATTAGATGTTTTCATTTTTGGGGTTTGTCCTGGTGCGAACTTGACAGACGCAAAGACCAATCACTAATTATTCGAACTTGTTATATACCCACGAATACGAGACCAAGGAAGAACACGATAGCGTAGTCGGATGGAATAGTATATTTGGATGGTTGTGCCAAAATACCGATGCGTTCCAACTAACTGGCTAGAGAGTCGAATACAAGCAGTGCAACGTAACACGACAGCGTGCCAAATGGCGAGGATGCTTGACCGGGTGCCTTCAGCTTAGCGAGTCCAGTTAAACTATCAAGGTCAGCATCAATGTCAAAAGTCGTCAAACCCTAGGCTATTGATTTTGGGGAAGTGTGTGACGCTACACATTCATAAGACAGAAATTGGGGGCAGTTAAACTGCAAGGCAAAAGCGAAAGTATTAGTGTTGCAACTCAGTACGCACTAAACCAGGAAATGAAGAGCTTGAAGTGAAAACAACAGTCAGCTTTGATAAAAGTGACCAGCAGAAATTCCTTGGGGTTGATGAAATACTAGATGATCAAGTGAATGCAAAGAATGCAAACTAGCTATGAAAGTCCATATCATCGATTCAAACTTGCATTAGTTTTTCATCGTTTCAAGTAGTTACATAATTGGCAGTGAAGTTTTTTCATAGTGGCTACATCATAAATTTGAAGCGATGGATCGAAAACAATATAGCATGCCTAATTACATCAAAAGTTTTTATATCCGAAAATTTCAGACTCCAAAAATCTGAGAACATTGTGAATACTGTAGTGAAATTCGATAATATTTTGAAGGTTATGGACAAGAACTTTAAGTGCGTGAATATAAGGCGAAGATCAACCATATGCTTTCTATATCAGTGGGTGCAAAAGTAATATGTTACACAGAGACTGATTTTTACACCCGAACGCTTGCACAAACACGTCAAATAACCCAAATGCGTGAAACAAGGACTGCAAAACGAACACTGTGTGACATGACAACGTGCGAATCCGTGAGAGTTATGGACTTAAAATTTTCTGTCAGACAAGTTAGTTGCAACTGCGACGTTTAGAAACAAAATTGTTCATCGTTGAAGTGTGGGTTTTTGACCTTAGGGGCGTATTGACCAAACCAAACAACCCCCTGTCTATGAATGCATTAGGATTTGATGTGATATCAGAACGTTGTGAAATTCCGGTGGTGGCGTTGCCATTGGTAAATTTTTCTACACAGGGTCAGTGAACAGTTGCATTTTGCAACTGGCTAATTGTCTTTACGTGATTTTAACTAAAGCAGAGGTCAACCACTGATTCTTCGTACTTCTATTATACCCAGGACTGAGACTCAGAAAGAACACAACATATGCAGGCGGAGTCCGTCTATTTGATTATCTGTGCTGAAACACTTGGACGAAGTAGCTGGAGAACTTCGTAAGGGCAATGCAAAGTAACACGATAATGGCGTGGATACCTGACCATGTGCTCTCAGCCTAGCCAGTCCGACAGTACCACGAAGTTCAATAATTATACTGAATCTTGTCAGATCTTGGGCTATCGATTTCAGGGGATTATCCGCCTTTCCAGATGTAACAATGTCTAGTTGCCATCTTACTATTATTACTATCACCACTGTTACTATTGCCGTACCCTTACTTCAATTAAGATAAGTTCAATTCCTTCTCGAACTGCCTGTCAACTGGAACTCCCATCACTGTTTTCTTCCTTCTCGCTTCGCAAAACTGATCTGTTTTTATTTCCTTGCCACCTGAAGTATTTTTTTGTTCAAAGACATGCACGTTGCTAACGAACATAGTACCAGTTCATGGGATCTGGGAAACGGTGCAGTTGCGAAGCTAACAAATGGAGTTTCTCCTGTCGAAGGTTAAGAAAGCAACTCCAACTTACTAAATCAAGTGCGTTCAACAGCTGACCAGATTACTTATTCCTTAGTCGGATGGAGGCAATCGTCAAGAAGTCCTGGATCTCGATATTGTGTTTTTTGGCACTCTTCAGCAAGGCGTACATACAACCTTGAAGGAACTGACTTCCCGTCTAAGATTCAAACGCACGTCACCCAGTTCTGCAGTCAAAAATGTTACTACTGAGCTATTCGAGCCGCGATTGGCCTCCTGTAGGACTGGATTAGGTACATCGGGTTGTTACTGGAGGGCATCAACTTCATGTTGTCTAGTCCTATGTGCTGATCGAGTTCTAGCCACCGTTTTGCAGTGTGGCCATACATGAATATGAAAATCTGTACATGTGGAGCAAAAAAGACAAGCAAAACAAAGAATTAGTCAATTAATTTCATTTGGTCTGGACAGAAGCAGAGATTGACCAGCGGTTCTCTGTACTTGTCAGATACCCATCAGCAGGAGACAAGAGTGGACACAACTTGGCAACCAGGTAAAAATAGTCTACTTACTGCATTGTGCTAATATACGGCGATGCATAAACTAACTGGCTTAGGGGTTACCAAAGAACAACGTGACCCAACAAGATAATGTGCAGGATGACTCGAATGTACGACTACACAGCTTTAACGTGACAATTATGCTAAAACTATGAAGATTAACGCCAATGTAAACTACTGCTGATTTTAGGCTGTGAACTTTGAGAAATCAATTAGCACTACAGTAGTTGTGGTGATTAAACAAGGCTAACCCACATGCAGAAATTTCTATAGGATGACTTAATTCGGGATAAACGTTCAGAATCGATGGAAAACACAAACAAATTGAATGATTCCAACCAACCGACGACTTACTCAGACCTATATAGGTTGACCCACCAATACATAACTTAGTATTGCTATACGTAATTTCCGCGGACTGATGCTTACAAGCAGATTGCAGTGGAAATCAAAACATCTAGAAGAAGGAGCCAGTAAATAAGCCTCCGAAATTCTAGTAGAGAAAAACACCTTTTCGAAGATTTAGATTGGCTTCTGTTCAATTCTTGTAGATTAATCGAGTCTGTCTGGCTGAAAATCATCTTTTGTACATCAGCACAAATATAGTAAAGCACGATAAATAAGTAAACACTAGTGAAGATAGTCAATGTCTACAATCATACGTGAATAGTTTAGGGCGATCTAGATTCGCCATCACGATAATGCCTTCCCTTTAAATCATCTTATTAAGCCTACAATCACTATTTTCTAAAATAAACTATTCAACAAATCAGAATTCTTTAGTTTTGCATCTAACGCTCTTCTTCTTCGGTTACCGTTAGGACAAGTATCGCAAAAGTTAATTTACCACTATGTTGGTAATCAGCAGTACAAATCCAGTTTGGTTGCATAAGGATACTTAACTAATAAATTAGTTTCACTTTCTTGACGTGATAGAAAGCGGACTAACGGAAATCAACACTTTAAGTTATCAACCGCTAAAATAAAAGTTTTTGTATTCAACTTTTTTCATTTCGCTGTGTAGTCAAAAAAATCCTTATTGGATTCCTCTATCCTACAGTTGACCAATCACAATTAGCTACTTAACTTTTGAGCTAGTAACTTTATATGATCATTGGAAACTGTATATGAATAATGCACTTTTATTTAATAGAATGTCCTTCTTCTAACATTTAACCACGTACGCATACCCAATAAAAGTCATCTGATAAACAAAAGTAACTTTATATGATCATTGGAAACTGTATATGAATAATGCACTTTTATTTAATAGAATGTCCTTCTTCTAACATTTAACCACGTACGCATACCCAATAAAAGTCATCTGATAAACAAAAGATACACACAGCACGTTGGTAGTACGTGAATGATCATATTTATAAAACACAGAATATCCGTACATATTTCAAAAACACAATATAATCAACAATAAAGTTGTCGGTTGGTAAGAGAAAAGAAACAAACAAATTTATATGCATATATATATATATATATATATATATATATATATATATATATATATACGCGATGTCAAGTTAGTGATATTTGTTAAACTGAGATTGTTCCCACGACAGTGGGGAATATCAGTAGCAGTATTTATAAGGAGAAGTAAGCAAACGAGTTATGTATTACGCTAAACAGAGCATTGGCATAAATAGCAACACGCCAACTGCTACTACTCCGTATACTCACCCTACCGATAATGATAACATGAACAAACACACACAGATGTGTTGACAGTTTCACACTGAACATTGTCAAAGGTAACAGCAAGCTGAATATAATGTGAATTTACCATAGAAAAGCAGATCATTGAAAAACTGAGGTCACAAAAAAAGAAATCACCTCTACGTTGATAATATTATTTAATAACAATAATTGGTAGCAATAACAATGATGATAATAATGAAGCATAATTAGAAATTCTTCATCACTCGGATAACAAAAAAAGGAGACAGGAAAATTGCCTCAAATAGTGTAGTCATAGTAGTAGTAGTAGTAGTAGTAGTAGTAGAAAAGAAAAACGAGGAATTAGGAAAGAAACAGAGAAAGGAAAACAGCAGTAACAAAATCGAAGCAATAACCTAAATGCAAATGAATTCATTATTAAAAGAGCCTGATTTTTGAAATAAAAGTTATTCTGAGGAAATGCATCAGTGTACTGGAAGGAGAGACCATCAATCCCTATTTACTTCTGTCGGTTAAAGCCAGCAACAACAACAACGATGAAAAATGGATCTAGAAAAGTCCTTTTTTCTTTTTCTCTGTCTTTGCACGTTCTTTGATTACCTCATTCATAACTCTTTCACCAAGACCTAATGTTGGCCCATTTGTGCCAATTTCTGCGCCAATATCCCATTCACGCCAATTTTCTTCCCAATTCTGACGTTCTAATTCAAATGACCGACGAGCAGCTTCTTGTTCTAATTCCTGAGCTTTCAATTGTTCTCTCATTTGTTCTACACGTCGCAATACATCGGATTCTAATTCACGAAGCTTTTGATTCTTTTCTTGAACCTGAAGATAAGTAGAAATAAAAAGTAATAAACATGATGATGTGAAAATCCCTAATACGCATATAGAAAGACAAAAACTGCATTAAATCAATCACTCAACGTTAGAAAATGCAGGTGAAACCAAGAAACTGGAGTGTTGAGACGAAGAAACTCAACGAATCAACCTGCAGTCGCTTGTATCATTCTTAAGAGCTGTATAATCATGTTTAAATGTCTACATATTTTTGCGCATAATATGAACTCTAATGTTGTTGCTTGGTATCATCCCGTCGTTGAGTGGACCGAATTGATCAGTCTGTATTGACACATAGGCTTCTGCGCGGATGCCTCGACATTGCCTGTGTTTCAACTATATATTAATGATAGATGTTGACTAGCAGTAGAATCCAAGACGTGCGTTTCACCCTGTTTGGGACTCGTCGGTTGGATATGCCTGCCTGCTAGTGAGCGATGTTGTTCCCACAAGACAATATCGAAGCATCCAAACAGGAGCCAAGACAGACCGATCAACCCAACCACGAGATAATACAAACAACAACATTAAAACTATACCTGTCTCACAAGAAGTAGCTATTGTGAATCGTTGGTCTGGTGGATAACGCTCTGGTGTCTGAAGCGATCAGTTGTGAGTTTCCGTCGTCGTGGGAAGAACATCGCTCACTGGGAGGCAGATACATCCATCTGACGAGTTCGGAATAGGACGAAACGCGCGTCCTGGATCCCACTGCTAGTCACTATCCATCATTAATATAAACATGGTAAGACTGTACTTTTGGATTGGTTATGGTCAGGAAAATAGTAGGCAAATGACGGTTAAGTACAGTCATGGGTGCGCACTGCCAGGACGAAACAGCTGTTCAGTGCTATCAGGTTACCAATGTTCCGCCAACTGATGTCAGCCAACGATGAATGCCAACTTGAAATCAATAAATCCCCCACAACCCCCCCCCCCAAATTGAGTTGAAATCAATCCAAAAATATTTCATTGCTGCCTACACGTAACTTGTCACCTATCTCTATATGATTTTCTTCGCTACAACTTACTAAGAATAACTTTACAAACTATTTACACTTTATTAGCCATTAAATGTGCACACTAGTTAGATGTAAACATGACTGTACAGGTCAATGTTATATGTTCGATGATAGCTAACTAGTGGAATTCAAGACACATGTTTCATCCGATTTGGTACTTGTCAGCTGGATGTAACTGCACCTTGACAAGACTTGAACCCAGCAGCTATCAATTTGAACCCCAGGCTACTCAGTCACGAGAGCCGTCTCTTTTGAAACGAGTATCATTTGTTATTGACTGATGTTTATCATTCCTCATCGATTATTATGCTCGACCGAAGTGATTGTAGTACACATTTTGGAAATGATATTGCGTGGACAATAAATTAATTTGCTTACTACATTCTGGTTACATCTTATCAAATACACGTTAGAATGCATTGATTTGTATTACCTTAGCAGTTACAATTAAGAAATAAGAATAACATATGGGCTTTGAATAGACTAGCGTCAATAATAATACGTTTGCTTCAAAGACAATTTAAAGCTAAATAAAAGAAAAAATAAAATAAAACTAGGGTGTTATACAGCAGGACTGATGTCTAAATTTCCCTGTAGAAGTATGCACACATTCACTTTGCTGAGATAGACAAAATCAGCATAGAATCTCGCACATAGATGCATCCGTTCAAGTTGCCACACTTCACAGTGGCATAAAAAGAACAAGTGGATAGAAAAACGGTGATATATCAAAGTAAACAAAGGTATATGGAGGATGAGGGAACCTAGAAATTAAGGTTAATCAAAACACCAAAAGAGTGAATACATCTGTGTCATTGTGACCGATTTTCAACCATTTTGCCAGGAGTCCTCAACTACTGATTCCAATCGTCTTGGGAACCCCAACGAGGTAGTCTGCATCACCCCACACGACTCAGACCAGTAGTAAGAGACTTCACTAACTAATATCACGTCTTGGTCTGATCACCGTGATCCCTCTTCTGATCTAATCCAGCTTCCCCTAGCGCAACACGCTGAGGTAGGCGGTATGTGGGCTCGCCATGTGCAACATATGTCCAAGCCGCCTGTAATCCAAAACCTGTCACCATATCTTTTACCCTTACTACCTTCGCTTAAAACTGTACTGCACTCCCTCCTCCTATTATGAACTGAGTCTATTCTACTTTGATGTTAACAAAAGACTAAGCAAGAAACGACTGCACTTCAATAAATTAAAGACAGTCGTCTACACCTGGATGTCAACAAGGAAAGTTGATTTGATCTAATGGATTCAATTAGGCATTTGTTTGAAATAAACTGCATTCAACATTCAAGAAAAAAGGTAGCCTAATGTAATTTTCAATGCTGGTTGAACTTGTTCAGTTAGATTCAAAACTATAAAAGTTGACCACATTTTGTCACAAAGAAAAAAACAACTGAGTTAAACTACAGTGACAAAATAATAGAACCTCAAGTGTTAGATTACACGGATCGGAATGGTTAAAGAAGCGCTGAAATTATTGAGATTATTGTTAGCACTAATAGTAGTAGGCACTAGCAGTAATAGTATTAGTATTTATCTTGGAAACACTCCATTCAACACAGAAAGGAATAAATAACAAGTGATAGATTAGTACTATTGAAAATCCAAGGTGTTGATTTTGCTTACCTTGCTTGTTTCTTACTAATTTGTAAGTGCAGTGTAAGAATTCGAAGGATTAAAACTATCATTAATCACTTGAAAAAACTTTCATCGAATCAATAATTTACTGCAGCTCATTGGTTTAGGGAGATGACTTTCGACTAAAATGGGACATGAGTTCGACCATCCTTACCCCCAATTATAGAGGTTTGAGCAGGCACAGCCAGGTAGTAGCATTACTAGCCGTCATACAACAGGTGTGACTATTGCATACTGCATAAATGCGCACAAGGTAGCTGAGTACAACCACTTCACACATACAGGTTATATACAGTAGGCACGACACACCTACTCAGGATGAATAGTACATATGAAACCTTCAAAACACTAATAAACTCTTTATTCGAACATCTAGCTAATTTTATGATTGAAAAAACCGCAACACGAAACTCAAAATAATAATAATAAATGGCTGATAACTGACAAAATCAAGGTAGAAGCTCGCACCAGGTGCACCGGCACAAGTCACACTTCACAGTAGTATACAATGAAGAGATGTATAGAAAAAGACTGGTATCGAAGTAGACAAACTAGTATAAGGGAATAAACAACTTGAAGAAAAAGGTTAGTGAATAACATCTTCGCCATTGTGACCAGTTTTCAGCCATGTCAACAAGGGTACTCAATCACTGATTCCTATCGTCTCGGAAACCCCTCTACCAAGCAGTCTACACAGCCCTACACATCTCAGACCAACTGTAAGACACCGCAATGACTGATGCCAGGTCTTGGTCTGGCCACTGTGAACCCTCTTCTAATCTAATCCAACTTCCTCTAGCATGGGATAATAAAGGGAGACAACCACTTATATGGTTACCGATTCTCCTGATTATCGGCAGTAAGAAATCGTATCAATTCTTGAAATCATTGACTGTTCATTTGAATTGTGTAAGGTGATCATACAATTATTCATGATTACCTTCAGAATTTATACTAATCTTCAATAATCCGTCTTCTACCCAACCTATTCATATACTGCTTGGCTTATTTTACCTTCTCACTATTTTAAAATCTATTTTCTTTACTTGTGTCGTTGCACTTTTGTGCTAATTTTATATTCCTACCTCTCTCTACCTGTTTTCCATATATGTATATACCTCGAAAACTTACTGATATAAATATGGCGGTCTTTCCACGTCTGTCAACATGGATTATTCTAAATTATCTTAAAATACAGCCACTAGACCTAATTTATATGTGTACGAGACACCTCGATTGTAACAGTGAAAAACTGATTGTAGTAATAACTATGTATACTTCAGGATCAAAATTTGACCTAATAAAAGGAGATGAACATTGATTCAGTGGATTATAAAGGAAATATATTTGTAAAATTCTAATGAGATTGGAAAATAACGAATTTCTGACGTTTCGCGACCTCATAGAAGCCACTTTTCAGACAATAATAACGGATAACGATAAAATTCATCCCCATAATATTATCATATATGAAAAACGCGATCTGATTTGTCTCCACTTACTATTTAAACATCCGATAACTTGAATAGGATTTTATTCTCTGGAAAAGCAGCTTCCACGAGGTCGTGAAACGTCAGAAACGTACTATTTTTCTATCTCACTGTGGATTTTACAAGTATATTTCCTTCAAGACTGGAGTAAGTTAGTATGATGCCATATTTTAACAGAATATGTGATCGGTATAGTATCTGCGAAGAATGGTAACAGAGCCTGTTTGTACTATTTCATCAACTAATAACTGCTCAACCGATTTTCGACTCATCAGATTTCGTTACATTAAGTATTGTTAATGAAATACATAACAGTCTAAATGATTTTATTCTGAAGATGACCTTGGACTCAAGAGTAACGATGTACACAAAAAACAATACATTCTCACAAAAATTTGAACACAATAAGGCTCTTAACAAATACATTGCGAAATATCTTATTCCTCAGTTCAGTATTCATCATAGACTGACATCAGTTGGAGAAACATTAGAAACCTGGAGCACTGAACAGCTGCTCTGTCTCCCCAGTATGCGACTACTCAGCAGTGCGCACTCATGACCCCCCCCCCCCCGGTCAGTGATCAAACCCAGGACCTTCAGGTTCAGTGGCTAGGAATCCAGTGGTCCATATTTCCTATTTCTTTCAGTTTACGATATAGCGATAAATGCAGCGTGTAGTCTCGTTAGTCGGCAATAACAGCTGGCAGTGATTTAAAGCTGCAACGTTGCATATTATCATCTAGAAACCGATGGTTGTATACTAACTAATCAGTCAATATGGGCATCTTTTCATGACATGTCAACATTCTGGATAAAAAGGCGAACAATACTCACACGAGCAATTTCATTGTCTAAAACAACTAAAATCTAATCATCAATTAACTTGAAACAGTTGCCAATTTAAGGCATCAGATTAACGGTTTACTCACTTTCTGATCAAATACAGCTTCCATTTCCGCTTCCATTTTACGCATCTTTGCCTCATGCTCTTTTTTCTCAGCTTCCATAAGAGCCATAGGATCTTTACCATCACGTGTTTGAAAGTGACTTTCCATTGCAATACCTGAAAGTTTGGCGTTTCGATAGTTTTCATAATGAATATTATGTGTTACATCACGTAGTTCCTGAAGGGAAAATGGTAACAATAACATTTATTAAACACTATTTCAGAACCTTTAAAAGAGTAACCTGAAAAACACTAACAATACCTACCGAAATATACTATTAGTGAAAGACCTACTCCAGCTGGTTTGTAGTATTTCACCAGCCAGGTCAGACTGACCTAAATACCGGACGGCCATTTCGCCCGCTTGGAGTCGACCTTATCAGTGGTATGTTTGAATATAGCCAGCTGACTCGCATGGACTGGTATACCTAGAATATGGTGATCAATTTGCAAATTATTTACAAATTGTATGGTCCGCACTGGTATTTTTCACAGCTGAGTGATTTTTCAACTGCGCAGCTGTGATGTTAACAGGGTTTTCGTTGAAAACTACCTACTCAAGGTCATAAGGTGTGATATCTGAACACAAAAGTGTCATGAACTAGCATAATATAAGACTATTGAACAACTTGAGTAGTTAGAAACTATTCAGTTTGATCTGTAGATTTTGTAACAGCACCTGTTTGCAGTAAGACTATTTGCATTGCCAGTAATTTTAGCTTTCCAGTAGCAAAACATTAATTGCGAAAATAAATGTGGAGCTGTGGTTCATTGGCATAAGCACACGACTTCTATCCAGTCGGTTACAGGTTCGAGCACCCCTTCCACCTAGTGATATTTGAGCAGCCACTTAATATCACTGGCCTCTATTGCCCACTACACGAACATGCAGGTGGTCACTAAGCGCATTCCATTCGTCAATTCACTCAAGGAAATAATCAACTGATTGCTTGATGTATGAAGGGACTACATCATAATGATAATAAACAATAGGAAACATTTGTTTGTGGCATATGAGTGTCAAAGAAAAGTGTATTATTGATGTCAACTTAGCGGTAGTGATAAAACATCTCTAAGATCTAATAAAGTATGACACCAGGAAAAGGTGAATTCAATGAGAAAACTAACTGTACTAACAGATTTGATACGTAAAACTAACTAAAGGTGAGTTCAAATCCTACTTACCGGTAAAGAAATAAAGGAATAATGAATACACCCTAAACTGTAACTCTTTACATTATCGCACGGGAACTTAACCTTTACCAGCCGTATGCATAAAAGACATCCGTTGACTGGCCACCTGTATGTGAACCTCTATTAATTCACTTGCTCTTGTGAAGTAAGGTAAATCAGCCATAGCCTAAGATGGCTATCAAAATGTGTACAAGAACATATTCCAGCCTCATTTTATAAAGTCCTATCCCTGAGCACTTGGTCGATCCGAACATTCAACTGACCCAAATAAGGTTGTTTATCTGTTATAGTATGCAGAAGGATTGACAAAATCCTCATAAAAAACTCTAAATCCCTGAAGCCTCCTACAACTAATCATATTACATCGAAGTTTCGAGAGAAAATACAATCACCATTAACGGGAGAAACCTAAAGGAAGTAACCTCCTTCACCTATCTAGGCAGCACTGTCTCAACTACAGGCGGCACAGACGAGGATGTCAAAGTCAGAATCGGAAAAGCAAGACAGGCGTTCATTAGCCTGAAACCAGTGTGCAGATCTTCTGCATTCAGCATGTGGAACAAGATGCGGATTTTCAACACCAATTCAGTCAAGTCAGTGCTTCTGTGTGATGGTTCAGAGACTTGGTGCGTTACGAAAGGCATTTCCAACAAAATACAGACACGCATCATCAACAACTGCCACCTACGCTGGCTCGTTACTGAAGATCAGATGGCCAGGATAACAAGAATAAGCAACAAGGAACTCTGGCCTGTCAACGGACCAACCAAGAAGCTACCGCTCAACAAATATACAGAAGACGAGAGTGGAGATGGACTGGATTGGGCATACACTGAGAAGGCCGATTGGGGACATCACGCACCAGGCCATGGCATCGAGTGGAATCCTGATGGGAAGCGACGAGTTGGGCGTCCGAGATGAGGGTGACATGGAGGAGATCGTGCGAGAAGGAAATGAGAGCTTGTGGGTTGTCGTGCAGCCAGGTTCAAAAGATTTCAGAGAAGAGAGTGCACTGGAGACGTGGTACTGAAGGTGTATGTTCCATTAGGAACCCAAGGGACAAATAATAATAATAATAATAACAACTTGAAATATTTCCAAATCTCCACAACCCCCTCAAAAATTTAATTGAACTGGTGCTCATTGGTGACTAGCTTCGAGAAGTATTCCCGAAGTTCCAATGACAAGTCGTGACCGGTGGAGTCAAAGCCTGATGGCCGTGAGGACAAATACTTAACGATGACATTGGGTGGCGGTTTGCGCTATATCGTGAGCTAACAGAAGTTGGAAATATGGAGCATTGGATTCTGACCCAGTGGCTCAATGGTAACGCGCTGGCCGCGGGACCTGAAGGTCGCGGGTTCGATCCCTGCTGGTGGGGTCGTGGGTGCGCACTGCTGAGGAGTCCCATACTAGGACGAAACAGCTGTCCAGTGCTCCCAGGTTTCCTTTGTTCCTCCAACTGATGTCAGTCTTCGATGAATAACAACTTGAAATATTTCCAAACCTCCACAACCCCTCAAAAATTTAATAATAATAAAGGTATAAATATCATATTCGTTGAAGAAACCAGAAATTAATAGGACACTGAAATCTGGAAAGGCCATGAAATAGCCAAGGCCACTATATATATATATATATATATATATATATATATATATATATATATATATATATATATATACATAGTGTATATATTTTTGATATTGCAATAAACCTTATTTTATAGTCAACTCCATTTGTCGAGAAACTCGGGGACTATCACCGGGTGGAATCTGAAGGTTACTGTTCAAGCGTCCGCATATATATAGCTTACATTATATATCAAGCAGGCACTACAAAAACAACACTATTATAAGTATAAGCACAATTATTGTCACTTTTATCTCCTATTATATAAATTTCCTCATGCATAGCAGTCTGTAAATATCATATACAGGAATGTACAACTTGAGAATAAATTTGTTGGAAAGAAACCTCTTCGCTGAATTTCTTGTTTTTAAATTGAATATGAACATTGAAAACTACTAGTGTTATATGCAGCAGATGAATCGACTGAGATGCCTTGAACATATACTGCACATGCCAATCCACTACCTACTTCAACGTGCCATTCTAGGGGAAGTTGGATTAGGATGGAAGAGGGTTCAGAGTCACCAGATCAAGATGTGGAATCAGTCGATGAAGTCTCATACTGTTGGTCTGAGTCATGTGGTGCGATTCAGACTGGCTGGTTGGAGTTCCTGAGACGATAGGGATCAGTGGTTGAGAAATCTCGGTGAGATGGATGAAAAACACTCACACTGGTGCAGATTTATTCAGTCTTTGATATATATTCCATAGCTTTAATATTCACACTAAGCGTCATCTTCAAATTATTTATTCGCTCACACAACTTTGTCTACTTTGATATCAGTCCTTTCTTATCCACCTGGTACTGTGATGTGAGGTAACTTTAGCCGATGGCTAGAAAGATACTAAAGTCATCGACAAGTAGTACAGCTATCATAAGTTCAGGAAGTTCATGAGGTTCTAAATTACGAATAGCAGTGCTAAGTAAGAGCAGCCAAGTTAAATTTACTGATCATTCGTTTAAGCAAGTCATTGGAACAGTACATTTTGATGACCGATTGACTGACAAAATCAACCTAGAACCTTACACACAGTGCATCGGCTAAAGTTACCTCACATCACAGTACCAGGTGGATAAGAAAGGACTGATATCAAAGTAGACAAAGTTGTGTGAGCGAATAAATAATTTGAAGATGACGCTTAGTGTGAATATTAAAGCTATGGAATATATATCAAAGACTGAATAAATCTGCACCAGTGTGAGTGTTTTTCATCCATCTCACCGAGATTTCTCAACCACTGATCCCTATCGTCTCAGGAACTCCAACCAGCCAGTCTGAATCGCACCACATGACTCAGACCAACAGTATGAGACTTCATCGACTGATTCCACATCTTGATCTGGTGACTCTGAACCCTCTTCCATCCTAATCCAACTTCCCTAGAATGGCACGTTGAAGTAGGTAGTGGATTGGCATGTGCAGTATATGTTCAAGGCATCTCAGTCGATTCATCTGCTGCATATAACACTAGTAGTTTTCAATGTTCATATTCAATTTAAAAACAAGAAATTCAGCGAAGAGGTTTCTTTCCAACAAATTTATTCTCAAGTTGTACATTCCTGTATATGAAACAACGAAACCAGGGACAGCATTAAATTTTAACAAAATTATACGACTAAACCCCATAAAACTAGAGATGATGACAAATGAGAAACTACGCATATCCATAAATGATTTTTATGGGACTTAAGCCTACAACATACAAAAGACTCACGAATACCATACAAAATCCAGCTCACGAAAAGTTCCCAGCTGAAGCAAACGCACCTGCATGTAAACACTTAGCAGAAGATAGCGTAAGGCAGCGAAATCATTGTGGTCCATGTTCTCCACTTCGACGACACCCCAAGGGTAGGAACGAGCTCGAATACGAACACCAGAATCATTAGTAATTAATGTATTTGCTCCCACAATAGCGAAGGGAACTCTGTCACGAAGACGCCGTAATTTGACCAATTCTTCATCATTACTTCGCTCTATGTTAAGAAACAAAAGTGTAGTCAACAAGCATGAAATGAAGAAGAAACTTCTGGTATTTATACATAGTTTTGCTGCATCATGCAACACACGAGATGAGACATCCAGTATGGTATGAACGCTGCATTGCAAAGCCAGCAATATTAACACACGACATACGACTTTGCATCAAACACAATGCTCTACGAGGTTATTTGTTCTTTATTTTGATTAATTCGAGTCAAACTTAATATATGTTTAGCATGAAATACGCAAAAGAGAGTAAGATAACATCATGAAGAAAGGGTATATAGAAAAATGGAATGATGAGAGAAGTATTCCTGTAAGATAAATTCGATTTTTTGTTACTGATTTCTTTTTCAAAAATAGATGACACAAGGGAATTACGGTATGACCTTCACTTGTTTTGATTCAGAACCGTCTTGTGATTTTTTAAAACCCATTCGAAAAGGCACGATTTACTAGCAAATGATTTTATTTGGGCGGGTTGATTTCAACTTACCATAAAGCACAAAACATGGAGACAGAGATTATCAATACAATAAGTCAGTTAAAATTCCTTTCAAAGTGCTTCATTCACCATTTTAGGCCTGTTTAAAGGCTGTGGGTAGGTTATCATCTATTTCGAAAGAAAAAAATCAAAATCCACCTAGCAACCTTATGGTCACTCGTGCAGTAAGCAATGAGCCAAAACCTATTGCGTGACGGTTAATGATACTACGTGACTGTCCAAACCTTGTTAGGTGGTGCGGTGTTCGAACCCGTGATACATCGGTAGGAAGTCCACTGCTTAGATTATTGAGCCAAAGCAACACTTTACTTCTTGCTATCGACGGATTGTGGAAGTTGGAGAAAATTCCAACCTTCATCGGATGCGGTCGCTACTTTTCATCTCTGAAATGTGTTATGACCAGTCACCTTCATGAGCTTAAATATGGTGGGACTTTTGTCATAAGCAACTTGTGCAAATCATTCTACACGCTGTCGACTAGAACCCACAAGTCTCACTAAGTTGTAAGAAAATTGTAGAAACCCAATGTCAGTTAGTTAGGTGTTCTTTCTAGTTATGAATGACTTGAATCACCATTTTTCGCCGTATAAAAAAATTTCTGCCTTTATTTGCTGGATCAGTCGGTAAGTCAGTATTAACGTGGGACCTGAAATCACTGCGCAACGATCCAAGCTGCCAAAACTCAGATCATACCAGCGCATCAGGCAAAAATGCACCAAGATGAAACATAAAGAAATAAGAAAGAGAGGATTCCGAAATGGTAGAAAATCGTGAAAAAAGAACAAAGAGGAGTAAGACAATAGTAGTTTTTGTATCCAATTGCAATGGTATGTGCAACAGTTCACTCACAATAACCTGTTTACAACGATGACTTCGTAGGTCAGTAATGTACTAAATGAGCTTATTACACACTAAAGTATGAAGAGAAGTCGAACAGAGCCTAAGAAGAATCAGCAGTACTGCATACACTCGGCATACAATTAGTATCAAACTTCAATAAGATCTTTTGAGTTCAGACTTGAGTGGCAGAAATAAAATGCAAAAAAGACATACAGATGATAGATATGCCAAGGGCTGGTACTAAATAGAATCAGAGAAGGCTCTGAGCTAAGCTGGACAAAATGATTTACACTACATAATTCACACCTGAATAGTGAATTCCTGCCAACTAAATAGACCTAATTTGACCTCAGACTCCAGATCTGTATAATGAAATCCCACAGTTAACCTTGACATGTCTACCGAGCTCACGCGTTTGCGAAAATCACTTGATTGATAATAGCACCCTTTCTTGTTTGCACCTAAACTAGGGTTCTTTGAAGTGAAAACAGAATTAACAGAGACAAATATAGTCCCCCTTTTTGGTTACTCCTTAATCCAGCTGAACCTTTTAGCCTTGTAGCAGACAAGCAATTACTGTTAGTGGTCCACACGAGTATTTCAGATCCAGCTGTAGTTTTGAATACAAGATTGACACTAGCAAGTTTGTACACCAATGTAACATACTTTTCAAACAGCTATACTTGAAATACACTTCCTGAGTTGACAAACAGAGAACTTATACCAACTGATTGATACATTTGGGTCTATGAAATACAGCACAAATGAAAACTAGATTTTCCGTATTTTTTGCATGTACATTGTCATATGAATCCTGACGGTAGTCAGCTTTAATACCAGTTAGATGAGTTATATGTAGCACTTTTAGATAACTTTTTAAAAGCAAGTTAAAAATTAAAACTACAAAGACTACCAGAAGTCTAAGCAATGGTGAGCAGTTAAGTGAAATCACGATAAAGGTAGAAAAAATTTCACAAATAAAGCATCGCAGATCATTTAAAAGTGTATAAATAATGGAGTAATGATATGAATAATCGGATACACGGTTTTAGAGATAGCTTAATTCATAACGAACTGTCTAGGTGCACAATAAGACGTTTTCATTCTTATGTATAATAGTCGGTGTGACAGTTGAGACATTTTTTGGATGTCACACCAAAACAAACAGAGATCACTTGAAAAGCCCTTGGCTTAAACTCGAATCCACAAAGTACCAAAAGAACGCCAGTAACATATAGGTTATACTATGAATACATCTATGATCAAAAATTTACAATTTCTTATCGCCCCCGATTTTTAACTGTTATGCTTCATAACTGAAAGGCTAACGAGAGAGAAGTACTAATTAGCACTGACGATGGGGTTAACAACAATACAATTTATTTGCATCCATTATCGGACAAATCAGCGTGCGATCTCAAGGACTTTTTAACCAGCATTTTTGTTTGGTTCAGTGCCTCGTCACACAATGTTGGCCGAAGTAGGTCCAGGCTGGAAAAAGGCCCGAGGTGACCAGACTAAAATATAGCACTAGTGTATGAAGTCTTTGACTGTTGGCTTGAGCCATGTGGGTCGATACAGACTAGTCGGTTGGGGTCCGCGGGACAAGAGGAACTAGTGATTGGAGACTCTAGGTGATATGGCTCAGAACCGATGTCAGTGGAGCAGATGTATACACACATTATCCTCATCTCAAAATTATGCCGAACCTCACCATCTTGTCATTCTTCCTTTCTTTCTTCTCGTACTTTATATTTCTTTTGACTGGATTTTCTTATCTTCATCTTGCACCTCACTGCCTTTTTACTTGATGTACTGGTATGAGGTGGGGCAACTCAGACTGTTACGCAGTAATGCCTGGTCCTATGTTGATAATGATGATGTTTGGCCCAGTTCCCCTACTTGTGTAGTAAAGCCACCCACTCGTTAATACCTGAAAGTCTGATCATTTGTGACTAGGTTGACAACTTCTGACAAAATTCATCTTCCACATGGTTTGAACTTCAAGTGGATACACAGAGATTATATACGACCTGGCACATAAGTGTATCAGTTCAAATTGCTATACTTTACGGCAGCATTAAAAGAGGGGGTGAACAGAGAAAGAGTGAAATTAAAGTGGATAAATAAATGAAGATCAGTGAGTGTCCACAAACGTACAAAAGATGACAAAGAATGCATACTCTTACACCACCATGACCGATTTCGAGTCACTCATTCATATTATCTAGAAGACTCCAACCAGCATTTTACAACTTTATGGATTGAAATTTACGTCTTGGCGTATCCACTTTTATCTTCTTTTTAGCCTTATCTTTCTCAAACTAGCATTAGATATCGAGGTAGACAGCGACTTCGAATGAGCAACACATTTCCCAATCACATCAACCAATAAAGGCTCATAAACGCATCAACTACAATCAATGAGTGTCCAGGTAAAATTACGACCATCTCCTCAACTTAACAATACACGTGACTACCAACTGTAATTGTCTGTGTGGGTTACAATTGATGTAAGCCCAACAAGTGAGTCCAGGGGTAAGTAAACGCATTTCCAGAAAACCATAGAGTGAGCTGTACAGACTTACCACACTAGCTACGTAAATTCACGTGAATACCTGCGGTCTGACCGTGTATGTTATGAGGGACATAACATGCATCTATAGCCTTGGATCCCAGCATTTTGGTTAGTGGAGATTTCTTGTCGGATTTGACATAGGGTTTGGACGCTAACCGCTAAGTAGTAAATTAGTGACGTTACATTTCTCTCTAACCCTTATCACATTTTATACGAATTACACTGTGATAGTAGATGCCATTATTCTTGTCACTAACCAGCATTATCAACCTGTTATAAGCTTAAGAAACAGCTGTTCCAACAAATGGAATTAGTTTGGATTATCTCGATAGGAAATTTAGTCCAAGTCAAAGTGGAAGATATTGGCCTAACACACCAATATGTGACAACAATTTATTTAGTTTCTAACGTTTACACTGAAACGCAAATGATATTGTTAGCCATACCTACTGTGTAAGGACTGATGATGTTAGCTAATTAAACAATCTTTAGGTGAGGAAATCGAATCTGTAACGCGTTAGCTGAGACGCTGCTCAAATCATACGTTTAAGTGACACCAGAGTTGGTAAAAATTTACCTCTTTTCAGGTTGATGCAACTCAAATAGAGTAAATATATTTAATATACCTGAGAAAATGTGAAAATGAACTACATGTTCATGAATAGAAGATGACTACACACGCCTATATTATTACTTCTTGGAGGAAGAAAAATTGGGAGACATTATTTAGAATTTATCACAAGGATGAACAGAAATAAACTGAACTTAGCAAGTGCGCCAACTCAAAATGTCACACCTCGAAGCAGCACAGTGAGATCAATCACAATAAGATATAGGAACGACTAAGAGAAACATTGGAAAAAGACTGATCTTTTTCAATTAACCGAGGGGGTCTGAATACATGTGTTCCAGCACGATTTATTTCCAATTATTTTACTTATAAACAGTGAAGCAGATGGTGCCTAACATCGAAAAGACAATTCACTTTGGAAAACCAGTGAACCACAACGATAACCATGACATGCTTTAAATACCAAGACTGAGATTTTTCAGGATCAATGAATTAAACAATGATGCAGCAAAACTTAAAACTACAGGCTTGCAGCACTTCTTCTTAATATTGTTGTACGGTAAATACAGAAAATCAGAACAACTATTAAAATGCGTATAAAGTTCCAGTGCACTTGGGAATTTACAGCTATTTTATTTTTTACGTGAATTTAATACATACTCTGTATAATTTCAATAACACTAACAGTTTCAAAAATAACATCTTAAGACATTGTACAGAGATACAGACATATTTAACCAGCAAAGTGAATATTAGCATGATTACCTGCACACTCTGGTGGGTCGATAAACTCGAATACGCGTATTTTTCGAGAAGTAAGATCATTCAATATTGTCTTCTTGAATTCACGACATTCCTCCGGAGTCAGTGTGTCAGCTTTAGCAATCACTGGAATCACATTAACCTTGTCCTGTATTCGTGATAAGAATTCTAAATCCAATGGTTTCAGTGAATGTCCTAAATAGATTTTAATAATTAGACCCATAAAGCTCAAAAATCAATTTTTCTGAAAGCCAAATGAAAACTAACGCTGTTACGAGGTAAATAAAGTAGGATATGTGATAAAATATGACCCCCAGTTCCTATGGACACAACTGAAGAACGTCGATGGTGATACCAAGCAAAATAAAAGTTAATAATTCTTGTGTAAGGGTAAAGCCTGAAGAATGTCACGTGCAAATGCTAATATTATCCTATTTAAAACACGGTATACTTTCGCAGTGCTAAATTTGAAACATCAAACAGCTGAGAACTTGCTAAGTTTTATAACGAATGAAATGTCAGTTTTCTGACAGTGAAGTGAATTTAGAAACTTTGAATGAAGGATACTTATTTTCATGTCTTCAGTAAATGTACAGTGATAAGTAAATGAGTTTACATTGAGTTAGATCTGATACTGACTGCCCAAGTAAACAAATCAAAATAGTTTTTTAAAGGTTAATACTGCATAGTGATAAAATAGTAGAAAATCAGCAAATTGATTATCGTGGTATAAACTAACACCGAGTGAACCAAACGGGTTACTACTTCAAAATCCTCCAGACAGACATGTTAGAATGAACCCAGCCAAAGAAACAGCTGCGTACGTTTGTTCTGCATTGCGATTTGTTTCCTAGTCAATTTTTAGACTTCACAAAAGTACCAAAAAGTGCCATTTGAGTGGAAGCCATTAAAGGCATTGGCTTTTTTACTTGATAAAAAACATTACGATAACTAGGTCCTCGAGTCTTAGGAGAGGTCAACATTAATCAAACGACTTTTCACGAGAATTACAATAAGTCACAATACTTGTTCGAGACTAAGAGATGAGTGAAACAATTCTTTACACAATTCTTATGGTCTCAACGATCATCAATACGCCAACTGGGTGCTAAAATACAACTAACTTAACTGTCTTTTTACAGGGTTAGAAGGAATATTGCCTTCCTTAAAACTATGAGCTGGAGCCTAGAAATTATATTTAGAGTCAGAGAATAAGATGCGCATAATAACACGTTGTAACCTAGTTTAAACTGATTATTTCTGACTTCCTCGACTTTGGGACAACACGAAGACTTAGAGAAACATATGGAATTGGCAAATCGTGGAAGATAAGCAAATACAATGTAATATCTTGTAATCTTACGGAATGCTAGATTAAATATCATCCATCAAAGTTCCATTGGCTTGAAAGTATGACTAAAGGTACAAAGTCACTAAACAAACCAATAGACCAGGTGGTTAAGTCTTTTAGTTTCACTTTGTTGTCTTCAAGTCAAAACACTGCTCGAGAATAAAGTTTAATGTAGTCCAAAAGAAAACAAAGTACTGTTGCATAACCGATGGTTTACCTGTTGGGGCAATGAAGTAAATGCATGCGTGAACACGCTGATCCGGAATGCTCTGACAAGGACGATTGACTCGGCTCTCTCCAGAAATGTAATCGTCGAAACGTGAAATAATATAATCCAAAACCGGTTGCCAACAGTTACTGTTGTCTATACAGTCACCAAAACCAGGAGTATCAATCAAGTTTAGCTTCAGGTATACGCCATTCTCCTTAAAAAATATTGCTCCTATACCAATCCTGAGATTACCTTAAGTATAACCGTATGCGACTGTACACATGTAGTTTTCTTTTGACGTTTGGAGGGACCGGGATGATCAGTATTGTATACTTCACTGAGAAACAGCGAGTTCACAAAAGTAGACTTCCCTACACCTGACTCCCCAACAACCAAGATGTTAAACTCAAACCCCTTCCGAACAGCCTTCCGGTATATCTGAGAATAAAAAATAAACTTGTCTATTTCCAAACGCACCTGATTAGGCAAGTTGGAGTAGCCAACGTAACCTTCAGCAGGAGAAATCCCATTTGCTAGTTTGGTAACTGCACCGTTTATCAGATTTCCTGAGTCCGTTTTATATTCTTTATCAACGTTTGTGTCTTTAGATGAAATTTTCATGGTTTCCAAATTCGGCAGACCATCTTTTCCCAAATATACTCCTCTCTTATTGGCTCCACCATGTAGTGGAGACTGCTATTTAAAATAAAGCAAGTTAATTTTAAGTGTAAACTTACATAAGACATGCCACCAAACTACAATCCCGAAAAATGATCTCAGACAGTAAGTACCGCAAACTTTAAAACACCCAGATTGGAGGTCATTTTAACATCAACAGTGAGAGTAGGGAAAACTTGTCGTTCTTGAACTCTCACATCCAAGTCCTGAAGCCCCGTTGCTCTCGTTCCACTAAAACCCTTAGATGTCAACAAAAGTCTCTTCCAATATCCAATATCCAATATTGATAGTGCGAGCGTAGAAAACTAGTAGTTTTTGATCTCTCGCGTCTAGTTCTTAGGGCTTGGTTCCAGTTGTTCGGTTCACTCCTGCAGTGGACGAGGAAATCCCCTCTGCTTTCTTGCTTTTAGCTTCGGTGAGGTGGATGTTTTGTGGGTTAGTAGGTTGTAATTTGTAGAGTGATTAGGGAGCTACGGGCTGCTGGGAAGTTTAGAGAACAACCGTGACTCCTGTCTGTGTAGGTACCTGAAAGAGAATATTAAGGTAGTGGTAAAGGAATGAAGAGAGAAGAAAGGAAGAGTAAAAAAAAATAAATAAATAAATAATAAAAAAAAAAAAAAATAAAAAAAAAAAAATAAATAAATAAATAAAATTAAAAATAAAAATAATAGTAATAATAATGTAGGGAAGAGGAAAGGGAAGGAGAATAAAAGAAGGGGTGAAGAGAGAAATGAGAACGAAAGAAAAGTATTTGGGAATTGCCCGAATGGTCGCGTGGGTTTGGTTCCTACAGAAGAATTAGTAGGTAATGTGGGTGTATTAAGGAGAGAGATAGTGAGTGGTAGTTAGGAGGGAGTTGGGGGTACTGAGGTTGGTGACTACCTGAGTACGTCCGTGGTAGTCCATGCGAGGTGACATAACTGTCTAATCGCCTCTTGAAAGAGTCGATTGAAGGAGCTATAACGATGTGTCGCGGTAAGGCATTCCATAAAGCACATACTCTCAGGGAGAAAAATTTGGACCTGAGTGTGGTGTTGGCTCTCTGGTGTGCTATCTTAAAGGGGTTTCCTCGTGAAGATCGTTCAGTTGCAGGCAAAATTGATTTGTTTGCATGGTCTGCCTGATGGGCGATCTTGTATGCCATAATGAGGTCACCCCTTTTCCTGCGATAACCCAAGGTAAATAGGTTGAGGTGTTTAAGTCTTTCAGGATACGTCTTTCCCCTTAGCCCCACAACTGATTTTGTTGCAGTTCTTTGTATTCTTTCAAGGAGATTAGAGTCTCTCTTGAGTGTTGGAGGAGCCACCGTATTGAAGACCTCTAGGTGCGGCCGCACGTAGGATTTGAAAATGGTAAGGAAGAGTTCGGGAGTGAGGGCGCCAAGCTGTCTACGCAGAAAGTGTAGAATGGCGTTCGCTCTGGTTGTCATACCTTTGTAGTTGGAGCTGGTGTCCAAGGTGTCGGAGAAGTTGAGCCCCAAATCTTTCTCCATGGACACTCTGGTGATAGCACGGTTGCTCAACATGTACTGGAAGTCGGTCGTACTTGCCTCATTTTTACTGATGTGCATTACTTTGCACTTTTCCAGTTGAAGCTCAGACCATTTTCCGACGACCAGAGCTCGAGTTGCTGCAAGTCCTTTTGTAGTGCTGCACAGTCGGCTTCTTCGTTTACCACCCTCCAAATTTTTATGTCGTCAGCGAAGAGGAGGATGGGTGAGGATATTTTGTCTGGCAGATCGTTGACAAAGAGGAGGAACAGAAGCGGTCCTAGGATTGCTCCTTGGGATACTCCTGACGTCGACGGTCTCCACTCCGACCTTATTCTGTTCACTTTAGTGCAGAACTGCCTCCCTTCCAGGTACTCCTTGAACCAAGAGAGTAGGGGTCCACTTATACCAGCTGACATGATCTTGTGAAGCAGTACTGTGGGTGGGACACTGTCAAATGCTTTGGCTAGGTCGAGAAATACAGCATGTACAGGTTTTCTATTATCCCAGCTTTGTGTCCAGTCGTCCCAGGCAGTTAGTAAGTTGGTGGCACATGAGCGACCACTACGAAAGCCGTGCTGAGCAGTGTGGACAGTGTTTTTTCTATTGAGGAATTCCCAGATGGTGTCAGCTACCAGGCTTTCCAACACTTTCGACACAATAGGGAGTAGGGCAATCGGCCTGTAGCTGCCAGGGTTTTTTCTGTCTCCTCCCTTGAAGATGGGTGACAAGATGGCACTCTTCCATTCTTTAGGGAGTTTGCACGAGTCTATTGAGTGCTCAAAGAGGTTGCGAAGTGGTTTGGTAAGCACCTCGGCGCAGTTTTTCAGAACCACTGGTTTCAGATTATCGCAGCCAGGGGACTTGCCCGGACGTAGCCTAGATAGCTTCTCGAACACCTTTTTCTCTGTAATAGAGACGTGACAGAGGTATTCGTTATTTGCGACCTGGTCGGTGTCGTGGCGAGTCGGTGTGGATCTTGTGTCAGTGCTGAGTTGGGCTTGGAAGTGTGAGCTCAAAAGCTCGGCAATCTCTAGACTGCTTAGCACACTCCCGTCATGGCCTGTGACAAGATTCACTCCCTTACTGGTCGACTTTCTTCTTGACATGAAGCGGTACAGGTTTTTGGGGTTGCTTTGTAACCTCGCTGCCAAGTTTGTTTGGTAGGAAAATCTGTCGTTACGCACTCTAATGTTACAGAGATTGCGAATCCTTTTATAGTTCAAGAAGTCAGACTCCCTGCGTGATGTAAGCCACTTGAACCAAGCCTGTTTCTTGCTCCGGATAAGCCTCTCTGTCCCACGCTTTAACCATGAGGTTCTCATTGATTGTCTGTGTGTTACTTCTGGTACACTGTGACTGATGGCCCCAGTGATTATTTTCTTCACCTCCAACCAGTGTTCATCTATTGTGAGATGAGTCCAGTCCACTGGCCATGATGCATTCATGAGGTAGTCCCTCATGGTCTCATAGTTGGCCTTGCTGTAGCAAGGGAAGGTGTTGGGCGTCTCCAGTTGCAGAGCCTCCCTAGTTATCATGGAGAAGGTGATTACAGCGTGGTCACTGAGGCCAAGGGGAGGTTGGATGCAAACATCCTCAATGAGAAGTTCATCGTTCGTCAGAACGTAGTCAAGGCGCGATGCGTTTCCGTTAGGTCCCCAGCGTGTAGCATCACCCACTTTCTCTGAGAGGCCAGCAGTCTTAATTGCATCCTTCAGCTTCTGATTGAAGGATCTGATGCGTCTCCCTTCCGTCTCGAAGAGGATGGACGGGGTGTTGAAGTCGCCGGCAATGACTACGGAATCGTAATTTGCAGAGGAAGTCGTTAAGATAGCCTTGATGATCATTTCCTTATGTGTAGGGGAGCAGGTGGGGGACCGATATATGACTCCGAGCAAATATTTGGTACTGTGGAGAGTGAAGTAGCACCATAGGGACTCTGGGACCTGGGTTAAGGCCGTATCGCTAACCATCCTTGCCTTTAAACAAGAGTTTACGTAGATAGCCACTCCTCCTCCTGCTCTATGTTCCCTGTCCCTGCGGAAGAGTTCCATGCCAGTAACATGCATCTCTTCGTCGGAGATGTCTGGCGAGAGCCAGGATTCGGTGATGAATATGATGTCGGAGTGCTGATGTGCACGCAGCGTCCTCATTTCTGCTACCTTCCCTCTTAGCCCCCTAACGTTGCTGTACATACATATTAGAGTGTGCCTGGTGAGGGGGAGGTCTGGTTGTGTATTTTCGCAGGATGACAGCTTATGTGGTTGGGTCTACCCTCGCCAGTCCTCATAGGACTGGCATTGTTCCGTTTTTTGGTGTTTCGTTATTAACTTGGGTGGGGGCTGTGGCAGTGGTGGCTTCTTTACTTGATGTATCTAACTCACTGGTCAGCGCCTGTGTGACGACCACTGACTCCAGGGTCTTGGTGGTTGTCGTCTCTCCTCTTGCCTTGTGGGTCTAGGCTTACTTTCACATATACGTATTGAGCCACCCATGCGATCCTTCGCATTATACCATGCCTGTAGAACGTCTGTGAGGGAGGCATGTGAGTCGAACTGGACGGCGAGTAGTCTGGGATTGGGTATGGTCTTCAGGTGCGCTGGCCTTGGCAGTCTACTGACGCTGTTGGCCGGTATGCTGTTGAGACCAACTTTGGTTGAGAGCCATTGCCATTGTTGGACGTCATGAAAGTACCGATCTTTGACCGAGCGGTCACTTGGCAATTCTGGAATCCCATGTACAACTATAGTGTTGTTTCTGTTGGGATTTCCAACCGCTGACTTTCTCTCCTCCTCTCTTATTGACCATGGCTTGTCAGGCCTGGCCCGAATTTTACAGGCATTAACAACGTCCGGTTGTCGCGAGAGGAGGAGTGTGTCTTCAGCCTCTTTGGTAGTATTTAGGGACACACGTAGAGGGGGTGGCTTATCTCGGGGTGCACGGCTTCCTCGAGAAAGGCGACATAAAGTTGCAGGGAGGGGAGGGAGTCCTAGCATCTGACAGTAGTCGGTCCACATTCGGCTGTCAAACCGTTCCCTCTCGACCAACAATGAGTCTGTCGATACATCGACGTTGAACAAAATGATCGAGTTGGTCCTCCTGTGACCTGGGTTCGTTGTGGGTGGCACGCCCGACTTCCCAATGGGTTTGAGTAATTCCACTGGTTGTTTCTCAGTCACGGTGTGTAAGGTGTTTGGAATGGGTTTCGTAGAGGCTTTAGCGGTCGATGTCTTTGGCCATACGCTTGACGTCCCCTGGGGCCGGGTAGGAGGTATGGAGACTTGACCTAATATGGTCCCCACGCGAGGTGGCGTGCCCACAGCTGGAGCTCTAGGTCTGTTTCCAGGTCTCTCTGTGTTATCTTTTGGTGTTAACCCTACTTTATTCGAGGGTGCTGGTAGCTTTTGCGTGGCGGAGAGCATCTCCTTCAGGCTTTCTGTGCGCAGTGCGGGCATTTTCCTGCACTCTGGACAGATGTACCAGAACCACTTGCATGGTTGTCTCTTCATCAACTTATAGTATTGTCGGGGGACTTTGGTGTCGCAGTGACAATGCGCCCATCGTTGACATAGGTTGCATGCAAATGCCTCATCGACTACCGAAACAACTTTGGTGCAAACACTGCAGCCATCGGGTGTCGTAATACAGCATTCCTTGCATGAATTAGGTGCTACGGATTGTGACGAACTGCCTGTGGCTGCCTTGTGCTGAAGCCTTTTACGTCGTCT